CTTGACAACAGGAGAGTTGCTGCCAGTTGAAGAAATAGTGTGAGACCCATGTTGTGTCTGTTGGGGAATTAAGGACTTCCATAAGTATCTGTGTGGTAAGGATATCTACATGCCTTCCTGTCGAGACTTAATTTGGTAGAGGTAACGAGGTGATGGAGTGCTCATCTCGCACCATCTTGACCAATCAAAAGTTGCGCCCCACCTTCAAACTCGCCTCATGGGGTGCCATTACATATTAAAATCTACCTGCTGTGTAAAATGGGTAAGAACATGTAGTTGGAAGAGCATATGACAATGTGTGAAGTTATCCATTTTGGTGATAAAGTAGGAAAAAAATAGTTTTTAAATGGTGAGGGACTGGGAAAAATTTTCGTTCAAAGGGATCTGGGTGTCCTTGTACATGAATCACTAAAGTTAGCACATGTAGAGAGTACAACTGGGAAGGCAAATGAAATGTTAACAGTGGTTATACAGGCTGTGAAGTTCAAGCGTAAATAGGTCTCAGTACCACACAAAACATTCTTTAAAATATACCTGAAGAACCATGTACAGTATGGTCTCCTTACCTAAGGAAGGGCATACTTGCCCTATTAGAATGAAAGGATTGTCTTTATGAAAAGAGATTGTGTAAACAAGGCCTACATTCTCTAGTTTTTAGTAGAATGAGAAGATCCAAATGAAATATGAAAAAATTTGAAGAAACTTGACTGTGATAGATGCTGAGAAAGTGTTTTCATGGTTGGGGAACCCAGAATACAAGATGAGTCTCAGACAGCCATTTAAAACAGAGACATGCAGAAATAGCTGCATTCAAGAGTTTGTGAATCTTTGGAATTCTGGATCCCAGCGTGCTATGGATGCTTCATCACTGAGCATCTTCATGATAGTGGTCAATGGATCTCGTCAATTAGGGAATTTAGGAATATATGCATAATAATAGGAAGGTGGAGTAAACGACAAGCCATATTTCTACTGAACCACTAGTGGTGCAGAGTCAAAGGGAAAAGTAATGTTCTCCAGTTACTATCCTTATATTCACAGAAATGTTATCAAGCAAACAAAATAAAAAAGACTGATAAAGAGATATTGACATGATTAACCAAAGCTTTGGTTGAATAAGGTTTTAGAATTCCCTTATTTTTATGCATTCATTGCTTTGTTAAATATTTCATACACAGAGAATTTGATTTATATCAGAACTATCATCTCTGTATTGTTCTAAGTCAAAGATCTCTTTGCAATACTTAAAAATATCTCTTCAAATATGAGATATCTCTCACTCTCAGATTCCCAGTCTTAATCAATCAAACACAGTGAACATTGATCAGTAAATAAACTAACATCAAACGCAGACCAATTAAACAATTGAATATTATAAATGAAAGCTGGACAGGAGAGAGAACACCAAGGGCGTAGGTAGTTAAAGGTGAGGTGAAGTGATGAAACTTAGTGACATTCTCAAGGCTGAGTCAGAAGAGTGCAGATATCTTGGAGAGTTGCAAGATTGAGAAGGATATAGAGTTGGAGAGACAGGAGACCATGGAAGAACTTTTGAAGGCAATGATCTGATTTTTTTTTAAAACTGCAATTACTGCCTGACTCAGGACAATGTGATGGAAAAATAGGACCTTAATATGAGTTTCAAATTTATGGAGACCGTAAGCTGAGAGGTTGAGCAGGAAAAAATATACGTCTAGAGAATAATTTTTAATACTGAACAATAATTTCAATCTGTGACCTGTAAATTAGAATACAAATGCACCTAAATTTATTTTAAATGAACCATTTCTATATGGGCCAAAAATTCCTCATCAAAATACACAATTTGATTCTTAATTATTTATCTGCATGATGTAAAGAATAACATCCTTCTCTACAAAGAACTTAAGATCTTTTTCCATTCTAATGCATTCCTGCTATCACTCCAGTACCAATTCACTGGAACAGCAGGAATGCAGGGCAAAACGGGATGCACCAAGTCTTGGAATGAATCTTTGCTTTCAAGATAATCACGCAGCAGTGAAGTTTCTACCTTCTTTTAAATAATATCAGTGTTTGTGGAGCAGGGGAATGAACCTGCAGTGGAACACACTTCCTCTTGATTTTGCATGTCATTGGCTCTCATAGAGACCCAGCTTTTCCTTTGAGCTGATCCATCTGGTTTACTGTCAAGCTCAATTAAGAAATCCCACCCGTGAATCCGGCAACAATCCCAAAGACATTCAGAATATTTTGTTAAATGCTTTAAGATAGCCACTTCATAAAGGGATCATGAGGCAACTTAAAATTCCTGCCAGTGGGACTCAACAAATAAAAGCCCTTGGCTCTTTTGGCAAACTTTTTAGTCTCATCACCTCGGGTTGACATGACCAGATATATCACCGTACTTTCATCTGACTGCACAAATTTCAACAGGGTCAGCAGCAGAAGTTCTGGGTTACTGGCCGTTTGCCACGAGGTTTCTCTGAACCCACAAGATTTAAAATTTACCTGTGAATAATTATAATGTTTAATTTTGTACAACCACACAGTAATGATGTCATGAGGTATATAGGAAAAGAAGTTCTGACTCAACCACTGAATTGTTCATGCATCTGGAAAGTTGTTAAGAACCAGGCAAATAGACTCTGAGTAGCCATTTTACAGTCATCATGAATAATCTATTAGTACAAAGTAAATTACTATATTGATTTCTTCTATGTGTTCGATCAAACACTGACAGAATTTCAAATGCAGAATAATGTAATAAACTTTTGTACAACATATCTAAGATTCAACATCATGTATGTACAATGTATTATTACTTAATATATAAAATGTATTATTCCATAGTGTGTTACTATTTTTAGTACAAACTTAATTGTACACATTCATATTTATCTTTCAACAACAGTCTTTAAAGAAATAGATTGTTGCCTTCCCAGTCAAATCAATTCCTATTGTTATTTTAACATGCTACAGAGGTAGTCTGAGAATATATAAATTGTGGAGAATCTCCCTGTCCTCATGCACTTCTGGGACCTATTTAATGAGAATGATAAAACGTTGAAGAAAAGGACCAAGACATAGCTGAAGCTAGAAACTCCCACAATATTTCTGTTTCCAGACTGCATCTTAGCTAAAATGTAAAGTAAAATGTCAATTATTACTCTTAGTTGTTCTTTGCATTTTATGTTTATATTATTATTTTTGATTATGTGACAATTCAGATGTAAAGTTCTTCTTTAAAAATATAAAATAATAATTTGTTTCTGAATCACTGAACGCAAAGTTTCTAAGGATTCTACTATTTTTCTGTTGTGAATCCAGCATGAGATTAACAAATCTCCAGGGAAATGGCAGAAATCTGGTTCCATTGACCACTACTACTTCTGGAAGTCTGTCACTCCTCATAAGGTGAATGACTGTCCGGGCACTAATTCAGGTGCAATGACTCCTTTTTTTACCTTCAGTTCCCACTCCGGCTCCTGAGCAAGGGGCCAATTGAAATATTCACAAAGTTATGTGAAAGGTCTGGGTGAGTGGGCAGCACGTGTAAAACTGCCTCAAAATCACAAGATTGTGGAGCTGGTAGGAAATCAGAAATGCACTTGAAAAGATCTCTTCCACATGAGATTCCCTCTTTCCCCAGCCCCAGGTCATGACTGCAAATTCTATTTGGTTTAGTACTGGAGACTAGTGTAAGATGAGTACCTGACTAACGTCAAGCTAACAATCCAAGAAATTGCGCAGCCATTGCTACAACAACATATAAATTTGTTAATACATATTTTTGAATACAGTTGTTTATAACATATTAAACATAATGCCTCCATTATAATCATGATTGCGCTTTGAAAATAATCCCTTTTCTGTAAAGCATTCTGAAAAATACTGAGTAAGGTGCTCTATTATTATCAGTTTCTTTTTCCTTACATATAAAGTGGATTTAAGCAAAAAAAAAATTATTGACATTTTTACTTAGCAATGCAGTTTAAATTTTGAATATAGCAAGAAATATTCTATGCTGATACAAATACTTGCTAGTGACTTGCAATTAAATTCCAGTATATTCCCAACAGACAGCTTTCAGTTGTAACTCATCAATATGTGTGAATTTTATAAATATGTACTTTGAACACATTGAAATATTCTTTCTATAACAATTTGTCAAAGCTTAAATGAATTTTCTTCCTGAGATATTATTGTCAGTATGTCCTTGCCTTCATTGGAAGGGCATTGAGTAAAAGGATTGACAAGTTATGCTGCAGCTTTTTGGACTTTAGTTAGGCCACATTTGGACTATTGCGTACATGTCTGGTCACCACACTACCAGAAGAACTTGGATGCTTTACAGGGGGTAAAGAAAAGGTTTACCAGGATAGGAGATTATAGATACAAATAAAGGTTAGATAGATTGGATCAGAGATAGTAGGAACTGCAGATACTGGAGAATCCGAAGGGTCTAGGCCCGAAACGTCAGCCTTCCTGCTCCTATGATGCTGCTTGGCCTGCTGTGTTCATCCAGCTCTGCACCTTGTTGTCTTAGATAGATTGGGTTTCTTTTCACTGTAATGCAGCAGGTTGAGGGGCAACCTGATAGAAGTTTAAGATTGTTAAAGCATGGATAGAGTGGAAAGTATGAGGCTTTTTCCAAGGGTGGAGGGGTCAATTACTCGGGGACACAGGTTTGATGTCTGGGGTTGGGTGGGGTGGGGGGGATGGAGTTCAAAACAGATGTGTGAAGCAAGTTTTTCACAAAGTGGTCAGTGTGTGTGAAAGGTGGTGGAAGCATACGCAATAGCAGCATTCAAGAAACACCTGGACAAATACATGAATAGGAAGGGAATAGAGGGATATGGATACTGTAAGTGAAGACAGTTTTAGTATGGGAGGGCAAAATATTTCAGCACAGGCTTGGAGGGCCGAAGGGCCTGTTCCTGTGCTGTATGGTTCTTTGTTCTTGTCCAGTAATGTAAAAAATAAGTATTAGCTTTGTAATATTAAAATGCATGTTAACACTACTTTTTACTTTCTTCAGTTTCACTTGGGGCTTCAGTATCTATCAGTTCTGAATATTCAAGTTGCATCCCTGATTGTTTAATTTTGTTCTCGACTCTTGTCACTCTTTCTTTTAGTTTTTGTTGTGTAGAGTTGTACTCCGCCAGAAGTCGAGCAAATTTAGTCTGTAAAAGATCAATTGCCATATCAAGTCTTGTTACTTTTTCTTCCATGTCCTTTGGGTCAGCTCCAAGCTGGGCAATATCTAGATCCAAAAGACCATCCTTCATTAGAATTTGCTTTCCCTTTTCTTCCAGCATTGCTTTTGCATCAGGATATTCAGTTAAAGCTTCCATTAGATCATCTTTGGAGAGGCAGAACAAATCTGAGTAGCCTATACTCTTAATGTTTGCTGTTCTTCTGTTTCCAGCTTTACTACCTTTGATATTCAGAATACTAATTTCGCCAAAATAGCTGCCATCACTTAGAACCACAAACTGAGTAATTCCATCATCAGCAACAACAGCAAGTTTCCCTTCTTTGATGATATACATCTCTCTACCAATATCTCCTTTGCGACAGATATAATCCCCTGGGCTGTACACCTGGGGTCTTAACTTCAATACCAACTCAATCAGTAGACCAGCTTCACAATCTGCAAAGATACGAACTTTCTTCAGTGTATCAAGGTGGACATTGATGGCAATTTCTGCTCTCAGCTTGTCAGGAAGATATTTCAAGACCTCTCTTTCATCCACAGCTTTTTTGTTTGTCCATAAGTAGTCAAACCATTTGATAACTCTCTTCTCCAGATCTTTGCTCACTTTTCGGAAGTGCATGTACTGCTTGATGGCATCAATCCTTGATTGAAACTCTGCACGAGCTGCATTCATGTTGGAAATCATGGAGCCGACATTACCAACAATGGTGGCAAAAATCAACACACCAACCAGGAAATCAGCCACCACAAAGAAGTATTCTGAATCCTCTACTGGAGGAGGTGTTTCACCAATGGTTGTTAATGTCAGTGTTGACCAGTAGAGACTATACACATACTTCCGAGCAAGCCGGGAAAACTCTGGAATGGATACATTTGGATACACCCATGTGTCTGCCCCAAACCCTATAGCTTTGGAAATTGAAAAATATACACAAGCATTCCAATGAATAATGATCACAATGTACATGACAAGGTTGGAAATCCTGAAAATGTTTGGGTAGTTTGTCCGAGTTTCAGTCCTTGAAAAGAATTCAAACATTCGACTAATTCTTGCCAAACGATTTAATCTAATTTCTGGATATTCCAGTCCAAGGTAAAAATACAGAAAGTCAGTTGGTATGAGTGAGATGACATCTAATTTGAATTGGATTGTGGCAAAGTATTTTTCTCTGAGTTTCTTTGCATCACTGACCAATAGACCTTGTTCCAGATACCCTGTGAAAAGAAAGTACCAAAATAATTAATTAAGGACTTATTTGAAAGATGTTTGGAAATGGATATGGTGTAAGATTTAAGTGTGAAGAGCAACAAAAAAAGACAGAAACACAATTTAACAAAATACATTAAATAGTGCCAAATATGTTGAAAACTAGGTTACTCATTTGTACTTTAGTGCTTAGCCACAAAGCATTGCCTTAGTGTGAGAATATCTGTGCATTCAACACGAAATCCTCCACATTTTCAAATTTCACCTTTTGCAAATAAAGCTCTTTCTGGCCTCACGTAAATACTATATAAAACAAGATAGATCTTTTTTTCTGAAACAGCCCCATGAAGGACAGTTGGCTTCCTAGGCTGCTCAAGTTTTGGGCTTTCCTGTGAATGTCTCAGATCTCCAATTAATTTATGGACTGAGGCTTCTGCCTGAAGTAGGCAGGCTCCAAGGCCATGAAGGCCAAGATATAGCAGCGGTGGGGAGAAACAAAGAAACATGAAAAAAAAAGAGCAGGAGAAGGCCATTCAGCCCACTTCATCATTCAACATAATCATGGTTGATCCTCTATGTCAACATCATACTCCCAATCTCTCCGCATGAACCTTAACACCATTAGCTTTTAGAAATCTATTTCTTTCTTAGATATATTCAGTGACTTTGCCTCCACAACTTTCTATAGCAGTGAATTTCCATATGTTCACTGCCCTCTGAGAGAAGTTTCTCCTCATTCCAGTCTGAAATGGCCTACCAAATATGCTGAAACTGTGACCCATTGTTCTGGACCCCTCAGCCAGGGGTAAACATCATTCCTGCATCCAGTCTCTTCAACCCTGTTAGAATTCACATGTTACAATGAGATCGCTTAACATATGAGGAACGTTTGAGGACTCTGGGACTATATTCATTGGAGTTTGAGGGGGGATCTAATTGAAACTTTCAGAATATTGAATGGCATGGACAAAATGGATGTTGGGAAGATGCTTCCATTGGTAGGAGAGTCTAGGACCCGAGGGCACAGCCTTAGAGTAAAGGGAAGACCTTTTAGAACAGAGATAAGGAGAAACCTCTTCAGCCAGAGAGTAGTGAATCTATGGAATTCACTGCCACAGAACATTGTGGAGGCCAGGTCATTGAGTACATTTAAGACTGAGATAGGTAGGTTCTTGGTTATCAAGGGGTCAAGGGTTCCGGGGAGAAAGCAGGAGAATGGAGTTGAAGAACTTATCAGCCATGATTGAATGGCAGAGCAGACTTGATGGGCCAAATTGCCTAATTTCTGCTCCTATGTCTTATGGTCTTATGGTCTTATCCCTCCCAACCATAAGAACTAGAAGCTGGAATAGGTAATTCGGTCCCTTGAGTCTGTTCCGTCATTTAATACGATTGTGGCTGATCTCAACTCCACTTTCCTGCCAGCTTCCCATAACCCTTTAACCTATTACTATTAAAAATATATATCCTCTTTAAATTTGTTTAGTGTCTCAGACCCATGGCACCCTAGTGAATTCCATAGATTCACAAAGCTTTCAGAGAAGTAATTCCTCGTCATTTGTTTTAAACCTTTCACCCCTTATCCTAAACTATGACCTGTTGTTCCAGATTACCCACAAGGGCAAACATCTGCTCTGCTTCAACTTTCTCAGTTCCCTTTAGCAGCTTATGTAGCTCAATTAGATCTGCTCTCATTCTTCTAATCTCTAGCATATGTAGGCCTAAACCTTTCAATCTCTCCTCATAAGACAAGACTTTTATCTCTGGAATTAATCTAATGAATCTTTTCTGTACTGTATCAAATGCAACTACATTCTTCTTCAAGTAAGGAGACCAAAATTTTCTTCCAAATTCCAGTGAATAAAAACCCAGTCAACTTAATCTCTCCTCATGTGACAAACCTGCCATTCCAGGAATCAGCCTGGTGAACCTTTGTTGCACTACCTGCTATGGCAATTATATATATTCTTTGGTAAGGGAGACCAAAACTACATACAGTACTCCATGTATGGCCTCACCAAAGTCCTGTTCAACTGCAGTAAGAATTCCTTGTACCTGTATTAAAACTCTCTTGTCATGAAGGCCAGCATACCACTTGCCTTACTAACTCCTTGCTGCATTTGCAAACTTGCTTTTAGTGAACTGAGTGCAAGGACACTCGGCTCTCTTTGGACAACAGCATTTCCCAAAGTATCACCATTTAAATAACACTCTACCGTACTGCTTTATCAACCAAATCAGACAACTTATATTTATCTGCAATATTCTGCATCTGCGGACTTATATGCCTAAACTGTTCTGAGTCCTATTTAGGTCCTCCTCACCACTCGCTTCCACCTAGTTTTGTGCATCAGAACACTTGGAATTATTACACTCAATACCCTTTTCCAAATCATCAATATAAATTGTGAATAGCTGGGGGCCAAGGACCGATCCCTGCAGTACCACACTTGTCATGACTTTCAATTCCAAAACTACCTATTTACACCTCTTCTCGGTTTCTTGTTTGCTACCCAATTCTCCATCCACTTCACCACAGATCCTATGTGCTTTGATTTTTCACAATAACCATTTAAGTAGGATTTTCTCAAAAGCTTTCTGAAAATCCAAATACGCCAAGTTTACTGGTCCTCTGTCATCTGAATTTGAATTTGAATGATTTATTGTCACTTGGATTTTACAATGAATAATACAGCAAAATACAGTGATAAGCTTCAACTGTCATCATAATCTGGCGACATTTTGAATAAGAATAAAAAGATATAGGTGAAAGGGTGTCCATCTTCATTGCGCCACCTTCGCTGTGAGTCCTCTGCTGGCTCACCAACAACACCTGTGCTGCCAGTCCTACTCCACCACCTCAACGCCACCTGTGCTGGATTTACTAATATTGGAATCACCACTCTTCGGGCACCATCTCTTTGCCGCAGGGCCCACCAGATGGCATGCTGGATCCTAACTTACCCCATAGTCAGGAGCTCCCGGCTCCACTGTTGCTGCTGTCTCACCAATAACCAGGAGATCCAGCTCCAAGAACCAGCTACCACAATCAGGAGCTGCTGCCACCGCCTGACTGTTAACCAGGAATCCCCGGCTCCGGGCCTACCACAACCAGGAGTCCCTGGCTCTGCTGCCAGGCTAGGCCACCACTGCCTCACCAAGAGTCCCACTCCGGCTGCCCTCTTCCACGATGTCACCTTGTGCCACCGCCGACAGGAAGAGGATGAAAAAAAAAGAAAGAAGATGAAAAAGGTACGGAAAGCAAGGAATGAAGCGGCCAGTCTGGAACGGATGGGCTCAGCCCCTGAACACTACCTAACTTGTCGGCACCGTCATCCTGGATCAGATCACTATCTCATCTGTCCGAATTACATCTTCAAAAAACTCGTTAATGTTAAACACAATTTCTCTTCCGTAAATCCATGTGACTTCGTGTAATACTGTTGGTATGTTTTAAGTGTCCTGTTATCATATCTTCTATAATATACTTCAACTTTCTCCCTACTACTGTGTTAGGCTGACAAGTTTGTAGTTCTCAGTTTTCTCCTCCCTCCATATTTAAACAGTGGGGTTAAATGTGCCACCTTCCAATATGCTGGGACTGTTCCAGAATCTACCGAATTTTGGAAGATGTCAACTATTATATCCACCTTTCCATGATCACCTCTTTTAGTACCCTGGAATGAAAATTCAGGCCCTAGGGATTTATCAGCTTCCAGTTCCATTAATTTCTTCATAACCTTTTTTTCAGTAATAGCAATATCCTTTAATTCCTACTTTCCAACAGAACTTCGCTTCTAACACTTCTCAGAGGTTTTTGGTGTCTTCTTCTGTGAAGCAGAATAAAAAAGTAATTGCTTAATAGCTCTGAAATTTCCTTGTTCTCCATTAACAATTATGCCTTTTTAGTCTGTAAAGGCCTAGATTTATCTTCACTAATCATTTTCTTTTTACATACATATAGAAGCTCTTACAGTCCACTTTTATTTTCCTTTACTCTGCTGTATCTTTCCCTCTTAATCAGCCTCTTGGTCTTCCTTTCCTGGATTCTAAACTCCTTCCATTGCTCTGGCCTGCTATATTTTGAACAACTTTATACGACATATCTTTGGATGTAATACTATCCTCAATTTTATTGCTAGTCATGGTCAGAAATCACACGACACCAGGTTACAGTCCAACAGGTTTATTTGAAAACACAAGCTTTCACAGTCATACTCAGTCTTCTTCAGGTGTTAGCGCAGCTTGTGTTTTCAAATAAACTGGTTGGTCTATAACCTGGTGTCGTGTGATTTCTGACCTTGTCCACCCCAGCCAACAACGGCACCTCCACATCATTGCTAGTCATGGTTGAGCCACCATTCCCATTGTGTTCTTTCAGCCAAAAGAAATATATAGTTTTGTAATGGATGCATCCAGTCCTTCGATATTATGAACTATCATGCCTTTTATATATTGTCTATTGCAGTCAACTCGCCCTTCCTGCCTTCATAGTTTCTTTGGTTAGATTTAAGATCCTAGTTTTGGATTGAACTATTTCACTTTCTGTTCCAATGAAGAATTCTATCACATTATGGTCATATTTTCCTTAAGGACTTTTCACAACAAGATTATGAATTAACCCATTCTCATTGTGCAAAACCATGTCTAAGATAACCTGCCCGAGAGTTGATTTGGAGTTGGTGCTAAAAAATGACACAGCACTGTGAATTTTGCATTGCTGCTTGTTACAACTCAGCCAAGGAGTGTAAAATGGACCCTCACATATATGGCAAATAGCCTCAAAACCCTTTGACAAAATAATAATAAGTACACTTACCTGTTTTTGTCCTTAAATACATGTCAATAATATAAATAACATCAGATACATAATCAAGGACGAACCACATGCTCAAGTAATCAGATTGAAGTTCTTCAAAACATGCTCTAAATGAGAAAAGAAATGAAAATAAAACAAAAATACCTTAGCATTCATTCAATTAAATTTAACATTTTCTACCAAGGTATTTAAGGTGTTTCAATGAATTGTCATCACACGTCTGGGGATCAGCAATGATTTTCTTGAAACAAACATTTATGAACTATTCTGAGATTATGGTAACTTTCTAGTTCCTTGTTGTAATCTCAGCCTGGGTAGAATTTTACATGACCATACATTAACTATGCTATTAGCTTTTATAGAATCTTTTAGAGCACAGAAGGAGGAAAAACAGTTCATTGAGCTCATACCCCTTAGTGTGTATGAGGTGAATTTCTGTAGCTGTACCTTGAGGAACTAGAGATTGAGTTGTTTTTGGATTTATTTATATCAGATTGTTGTGTAATTGATAACCTTGCTATAACAGAGCCTTTGGGAAATAGTGACTGTAAAGTGATAGAAGTTTGCAATTAAGTTTAAGTGTGATATAGCTCATTCTGAAACTAGGATCTTTAGATCTGAAGGAAATTATGAAGGTAATGGGTTGACAAAAATACACTATAAGCCATGATAGTAGCTTGGCAAAAGCGAGTATTTAGAGAAATACAATATGGTTTGGAACAGATATACATTCCTCTAAAGCACAAACACCCAAAGTGGAAGATAAATCAGTCATGGTTAATGAAAAAAGTGAAAGATTGCAATCAATCAAAGGATTTGGCTTTTGTCAGAACAAATGGTAAGCTTAGATTTGGAAATAATTTAGAACCCAACACAGGAGGACAAAGAAGCTGACCAAGAAAGGGAATATGAATTTAAATGAGTGAGGACCATAAAGTGGACCATGGAAGATTCTTTACATACGAGAAAAAGATACAATTGGCTAGGAGAAATATAAGTTCATCACATGTGGAGAAGAAGGTAGCTAAAGAAATAATGGATACATTGGTGGTTATCTTTTAAAATGCTATGGGTTCTGGAAAGATTCCAGTTTACTGGAAAGTAGTAAATGTAACTAAACTATTTAGGAAGTGAGGAAGAAGGTGAGTGAAGAACTATAGACCTGTTAGTTTGATGTCAGTATTGGAGAAATGTCAGAATCTATTGTAAAGAATGTTACAGCTGGACAGTAGGAAAGAATGACAAAATTAGGCAGAGTCAATATGGGTTTATGAAAGAGAATCGTGTTTGACAAACCAGTTGAAGCATTTTGAGATATTACCTTGTAGCATTGATAAAGGAGAACCAGTGGATGTGGTATATTTAGATTTTTTAGACAGTTGTTAATGAAGTCTCATACAGGAAGTTAGTAAAGAAAATTAGTGTGCTTGAGGAAAATATATTAGTATAGATTCAAAATTCGTTAACAGAAATAAAGCAGAGTAGTAATAAGTGGATCATTCTGAGAATATCAGGCTGTTATTAGAGGGATACTGCAAAAATTAGTGCTAGGTTCACAGCTGTTCACAATCTTTACAAATGATTTGGATGTGGGACCAATTGTAATATGTATGAATTTGCTGTGTAGAAATGTAAGATATGAGAAGGATGCAAGGAAGCTTCAAGAGGACTTGGATATTCAAAGTGAATGGGCTAGAACATGACAGAATACTGAAAAGTTATTTGGCATCACAGAACTTAAGAATTGCTGAGAAAAGACTATTTTGTCAGGGGCTTTTTTAAATTCGTTAACAGGATGTGGTTGTCGCTGGCCAGGCCAACATTTATTACCAGTCCCTAATTGCCTAGAGGGCAGTTAAGTGTCACTCACATTGCTGTGGGTCTGGAGTCACATGTAGGCCAGACCAGGTAAGGACAGCAGTTTACTTTCCCTTGAGGACATTAGTGAACCAGATCGGTTTTTCCTGACAATCGATAACTGTATCATGGTCATCATCAGATTCTTAATTCCAGAAATTTTATGAAGTCAAATTCCACCGTCTACCATGGTAGAATTCAAACCCATGTCCCCAGAATATTAGAGATAACAAGGTGTAG